TTCTTATCATTTACATCATATTCTAGACGTTATTGCACGTAAATAATATTTAATCATCTTATTAAATGTGATTTCGATGAATAAAACTCTCATTTTCGTTCTAAGAGTCATAAAAAGGGATTCCACATAAAATCATCATAAATCATCCATTTTATGTTGAAATACTTGAGAAAAAGGGAATCAATCATCAAAGGATCAAGATTCGGGCTTGAACGAGCTTCCGGGAGGTCAAAAACAATGTTCGGGGCCAAAACGGAACGAAATTGGGCCGAAATCACGAACCAGCCGCGAAGCCCAACAAAGGAAGGGCCTAAGGCGTCCAACTTGGACGCTTAGCCAAGTTGGACGCTTGGGAGTTGGACGCCTTGGCTGGATTGCAGACCAAGAAAGACACATGGCAAAACCTGGTTGGCCGGAGCAGCTCAAGCGTCCCGATCTAGACGCCTGGACTTGGACGCCTCGGCCTCTGTCCTATAAATACAGCGCGATTCTCCCCATTCAACACATCACTTCCCCTCCCATTTTCGGGAATTAAGCCTTATATTCTAGTTCCAAATATTAGTTTAGCATTCTGGTAGTTTAGAATAATATTTGGAGAAATTTTGACTCCAGATCTATTCTGTTCTGCTTTACGGAGATTGTAAGTTTCTTTTATTTAATAAAATGCTGTTTTAATTTATGTTTGCATAGTATGAGTTAGGGTCCGGATCTCTGGGTCCGGACTAGTTTGGTTGTTTATTTTTTTGATGTTAAATTAATGTTGGAATGGTTAATCTATTGTTCTTGCTTTATTTAGTTAATTATTCTCGAAAGATTTAATTAGCTCTTTATTGAAAAGATATTGTATGCCAAAATGGCTATGATATTCAAGTGCAACTGATTAAGTACAAATCTAGAAATGGATGAGTAGTAATAGAAATATTATTATTCCAATTGTTAATTTAATATGATAAAATAGATCCAAATGACGTCCAGACCCTAGGTCCAGATCTATACTTATACTATGTAAACTTAATTTATTATTTTTACTCTGGTCCTTTTATAATCGTTCCGAGAAGACTTTCATAAACCATTCCTAACCTTCGCCTAGTTAGAGAAATTAAACTGATTCCCTTCGTCCACTCCTCGAGAGACACGACACTCGGAGAGAAAACTAACCCTTTACTGGGAAGGTTTACTACCCGAAAAACTACAACTGTCTAATGGCGCCGTTGCCGGGGAGTGGCACGACATTAGTATAATTTCTTCTAATTAGCTTGGGTGAAGATTGGTTAGAACGATCTTCTCACTTCCTTTTCACCAACCACCCGTAGTAATTATTATGGATAACTCCAGTGGTTATTACGGTCCGCTTTCTTACTACCAATCACCCAACCGCCCTCCGTACCAAACCCATCCATCTTACCACCCGCATCAGAACCCATACGATGATGACTACCAAGTCAACAATGGGTCTGACTACTATCCCTACCATGAGGAACCACCATATGATACCCCATCTGAGAACTTTGGATATTCTTCGTACCAAGACTCTGATGGGGAAGATTATTATGAACCTCATGGTGATCACGATGACTATGACCGCAATGGGCCTATATACGACGATCAACCTGATCCGCTCATCGAAGAAATCCTAAGATTAGAACAGAAAATCTTCTATTTCGACGAACTTTTATTCGCTGAAGGCTCCTGGTACGAACCACCCTACTGCCGTGACTACACCCTACTTGCTGAAGAACAAATTGAGGCAAACAAGGTGGCAATTCGAGAAAGAGCAAAACTTCTTGAATCAGTCCGGAAGGAAAAGGAGTTCGAAAGGAGATTATGCGAAGGATCAGAAATGATGCAGAAAATGCTGGACGACTTTCAAAGAGAGAGACTAGAAGATGAGGATAAAGCTGATAAATTAGTCAATGATCTCCGCAAGGCTATTGAGCTTAAACGCTCCCTCCAACCTCAAGATCCACAATTGGAGGAAGTTAATGCTCAAAAAGAGGCTCTAGAACCTAAGACCAACCCTGAACCTTCCAACCATCAGGTTCCAGTTCTAGAAGATTCACCAAGTTCTACACCATCACAGAAACCCGAGAGCATAACAACTCTTGCTGGGGCTACTGTGGTGATGTTACCCGAATACCCTCCAAGCCAAGTCTCAACCGGCACAGTCGTACATGAGGTGGAACCAACTGAGGGACCTGACTCAGAACCACCTATGCTTATTCAAGAAAAGAAGGAGGAGGAAGTTTTGCCTATGGCAATAAACGAC